TTACTATTTATATACGTGAGAAGTATTGAAAACATTCCTAAATTTGGTATGAATTATTAGTTTTATCCTCAAATTATTAACAACTTTAAAATATCTATTTGCTTGATTAACTGAACTTAAATACACCCCCTATCTTACAATATGAGTGAAATACACCCTAAATTCTCGTCAAGTTTAGGGGTGTTTTCAAAACTTCTCTCGAGTTTTTATTAAGAGTTACATGTCATACTGTAACATCCGACAATTTGAAATAACTATGAAGAAGCTGGAAATCGGAAATAGTCATTTTTGGAAAGAATTAAAAATCTGGAAAATTTGGCCAAGTATGGGAAAAAGTGAGTTTTTGGCCAACTTTGAGCAGTCATAACTTCTAGCTCAGGATGATTTAGGTGTATTTCCAGTTATGTTTGCGAAGCTCGTGGAATGATCTTTCCAACGCCACTGAGTTTGCTCGATTCCAAGTTTGTATGAGTGAGTTATGCCCTTTGGAAGTTGGGCAGTTGGCAGGGAAATCCGTCCGGAAATTTTAAGGGCATTTTGGTCTTTTCCCTAACCAATTCTTTTGGTTATATTGATGTGTTAGACTGATTATTAGATCAGTTTGTCCCATTTTAAAAGAGTGAGAGTGAGGGTTTGTGAGTGAAGAGGAGAAGAAGAGGAGGAAGAGAAGATCAAGCAAGGTTTCGTCAAAGATCGTCGTGGATATCGTCGGGGGTGATCCCTACTAGGTATGTGAGATCATAGTGTTGGGTTGGTTCTTTCCCCCACACGCCAAACTCGTTTTAATTTCTGAGAAATGATTTGGTTGTGTTTGTTGAAATCTTGGGGTTGTGTTGTTGAAGTTCTTGTTGGTTTGGTACATGATTTGGTTGTGTTTTTGAGTTGAATCTCTTGTATGTTGAGGGGTTTTATTATTCTAAGTGTTTGGGGCTGGAAACTTTGAAGTTAGGAAGGTTTAGAGTTGGAAAATCAAGGGGGAAAAGTTGGATTTTCGGGGAAAAGGGCTGGGGCGTCGCGCCTGCCAGCGCGCCCCAAAGAGGACTCTGAAGTCCAGCCCTTGGGGCGGCGCGCCTAGCAGAGCGCCCAGCAGGCCTCTCTGAAGCTTGAGGGCTGGTGCTCCACGCCTCTCAGAGTGCCAAGGACGCCAATCTTTCCCATTCTTTCCCCACTCTTTCATACATGTTCCTTGGTATTGTACCTATATTTCATAGTTGTTTCCAACACTCCAAGGTATGTCTAAACGTCAAGAACTCATCCATAAACGTGTGATCATATACCTTGAATCCATAATCCAATTCAAGGCGAGTTAGGATCAAGTCAAAGTGAAGTTAGAAGTCAAGTCTAGAAGTTAAGAAGCAAGTCAAACAAGTTTTTAAAGTTGTTCAAGAGTCTTTATTGAACGTTTTAACTTCATTTTAAGGCTCGAGTTTCAAGTCAAGTAAAGAGTATAGAGTTTCGAGTTAAGTCAAGAGTATAAAGTTGAGTTCATTTCTCAAACGTTATTAGGGAACTATGTATTCCCAAAGAAGTTTTAAAGGAAATGTTTTCACATTTTAAACGAGATCGGAAACTGAGATTTCCAAAGAGCCTTAGGGCTAGTTTTCATAAAGAAAGAGAGGAAACTGAGATTTCCAAGATAACCTTTGAGCTAAGTTTTTGAGTAATTATCTCAAACCAGCAGGAAGAAATGTGTTTTAAAAGTTTAAGAGCCAGTACATTTTTGGGAGTAGTATCGAGCACCGAATTGGGGGAGCCTTCAAAGAACCCACAGCCCCCATAAAACCATGTAGCCATCATGGGTAGAAGAGGTTCATACTTTTTAGATGAATCCTTTTTAGATTAGACTAGTGGATCCATTAGGCAGTTCAGGTCCTATACCTTTGGCCGGGAATAGGATGCTCTGGCAGCGTGAGGTCGATCGTTGTATCATCACTATAGCTCTTATGTGATGGTTGTCGGTTAGAGAAACTCCCACAACAATTATTGTATTTTTATATACATCAGTTCATTTGTATTTCTACATACATCTCAGACTTATTGTATCCTTGTATACATACAGAGTTATAACATGTTTTAAACAGCTTTTCTTTATATTGCACTTGTTTTAAATTGCGTTATATTGAAATGAGTCGGTCAGGTTGAGTTGAGTTGAGCCAGGTAAGTTATTTAGTTTCTTCCAGATTTTCCTTCTAGCCTATGTTGCTTAGCTTTCCAGCTCGCATACTCGTACATTCCATGTACTGATGCCAGTTGGCTTGCATCTTGTTATGATGCAGACGCAGGTACCCAGGATCAACATCCAGCACGCCGTTGATCCAGTTGAACACTCCAGAGTCAGTGGTGAGCCTCCTTACTTTCTGGAGGACTCAGTTGTTTTGTTCTCTTAAATTTTGTTTTATTAGGATGTTGCAGGGTCTGTCCCAACGTCCATCTCAGTATTTTAGAGGCTTTATAGACAGTCAGTCAGTTAGTATTGAGTCTCTCATCTATGTATATATAAATTATTCTATTTTGAGACTCGAGTTGCCTTTATGGCCAGAGTTTTATCAGCAGGTTGTTTTATAACCTTTCATTGCATTGAGTTGTGCTGTTGAGTTAAGTTTTCGCTGAGTTAAGAAAGCCAGGCCAAGGGTTCGCTTGGGGCCAGCAATGGTCTCCGAGTGCCGGCCACGTCCAGGGTGTAGGCTCGGGGCGTGACACATACAAGAGTTTGAGACCACTTGCTATGTCTTGTGGCTAATCAGTGGTGTATCTAAATTTAGTTAATCAAGTAGAGAAGTGTTTTTAAGGTTGTGAATAGTTCGAGGATGAAAGTAATAAATTGCGTCAAGTTTAAGGGTGTTTTCAACACTTCTCTATCTCTCTCTCTCTCTATATATATATCTTTTTTTATTGTTATTATTAATTTTATTTTGAACAATGACACTGATGTTAGAGGTGCTAATCAAATGACACGTATTCAGTTGCACATGGGAATTTAAAGCAAAAAATGACAGGTATGTATATTGGGGATAGTCACAAATTATAAAATTCATGTACTATATACCCTTCTTGTTGTCAATAATTCACGCAACATTCAATGCCTTCTTTAATTTGCAATTTTAGGTTCATTGAAGAAACTCTTATTTAGTTAAGACGTTATTTTCGTCTCCTATAATGCCTTTTTAAATTTTTTTGTTTTGATTTGTTAAATCTAATGCAACAAACTCTTACGAAGGTCAAATTAAATACTTTGATCTCTATGATAAATGTCTACGAACAATTAGAAGAAGACTGAAAAAAATAACATCACGCTCCTCCCAACAGAGGAATGCAAGTTGCAATTTTTGACGATAGTAGTTTAAGTTGGAGGTATTAATGTGGAATGTTTTATTTTATGGTGTGAGGTATAAGCTATAATAAAATCAGGGATAAGATGTAGAACTATTTTACTTTGTGTTTGGTTGGAGGTATTAGACAATTCTGAAAATTATTTATCTTATATATATGGTGGAATAACTTAACTCAGATAATTAATTTCGGAATAACTTGTTTCTAACCAAACGAACCGTTAGAGTTGATAGATCTCTTTTCATCGATTTGAAAGTGACTCATATATATCCATACAGTTACACAAACGGCTCACATATACCCTTTTAACGAAAGTAAAAAATAAATAAATAAATTTTTAAATTTGTTTTACTACAAAAAATATATTCATGTAGGAGTGAGTATATTTGATTCTTATCATACATGCTTTTTTAAAATTGATTTTTCACTTTATTAGAGAAAAAGATATATGTGAGTCATTTGTATATCAATATATATAGATATATATGAGTCATTTTTATAACAAGGATCGAGTTATATATCAAATCTAAATAACAAAATTGAGTGGTATATCAGACCATTTTCTCGGTATTATGAAATGCAATAGTATATGCGTCGGTATTATGAAATGCAATAGTATATGCGTCGGTATTATGAAATGCAATAGTATATGCGAAAAAGAGCTTTCTTAAGAACATGTCTGTGATGAATAAATTCAGAAAATTAAAAGAATTGAATGGAAAATTCCTAGTAAAAAGTAGGTTGAAAAGTTCATAACCTTATATTACCTCTGTTTCAATTAATTTGACTTATTTTGATTTAACATAAAATTTAATAGAGTAAAGAAGAGTACTTTTGAATCATGTGGTTCACTCCACAAAAGAGATATTTAATAGCAATATTTTTTTTCTAATATTGCCGCAAAAATATTCAGCAACAATCGAGTTAGTGTCATTGCATCCAAAGTCACTAAAGTCTTTAGCGACATTTAAATAAGATATTGATTATAAATACTCATATTTATTATTACGGCTAAACATAATTTAGAGATAGTTATATTATTGCTGCTAAATCCTTTATTTGTTGTAATGGTTTTAAATTTAAAAAATATGTTAAATATACCAAACAGCGACAAATTATATTGTATATTGAAAACAGCCACAAATAGAATTCATGTACTACCTTTGTTGTTATCAATAATTCACACAACATTCAATGCCTTCTTTGATTTACAATTTTAGTTTAAGTTGAAGAAACTCTAATTTAATTAGGACGTTGTTTTCGTCTCTTATGACATTTTTTCAATCTTCTGTTTTGATTTGATAATTGACTATTTAAAATTGGCAAATTCTTATAAAGGTCAAATACATCTGCTCTTTATTATAGGTGTCAAAGAATAATGAGAAGAAGTCCGAATTTTTTTTTACTCTTTCACTTTCCAATATACACAACAATACTATCATGCATGATGATTTTTTGCTACAAGCTTTGACTTTCCATAAATAACAAATCAAAAACAACATTAGATATTATAAAATACACAAATAGATAAATAGAAAACGAAAATTGCACCCCAAAAAGTTGCAACAAACTTTGGAAATAGAACACTTTTGACCTAACTTATTTCAACAAAGTACATTAACACATTCATTTATTAGTGCAACTCATTTTGAATCGTCCATTTGCTGCCGTTAAACTGGAATAGCAAATTGGAGGAGGTCGTTGTCGTTCTTGAAAACAGACATGTCCTGTTCATTCAAGTTGACAAAGGCTTCAACTCCTCTGTCATGATCACCATCAGGTGTATTCGTTAAGATAAAAAAGTTGCTAATTGGACCAATTCCTTGTCTTGCTCTAGTAGGTTTTCCAAATCCAAAATCTAATTTTTCGAATTCGAATGCTAATGTACTAGTAGCTATATAAACATGGCAATTCCTTTGTTGTAATGGCAATTGCCCTGTTTTATATGCATCCAACATCTCTATGACCAATTCATTTTCTTGTAGATTGTTTCTGGTGGACAAGTCGTGTTTGGACTTTCTTATATCGGTTACTAATTTTGACAGTCTGAGGTCTCGTTCATGGTTTTCATATATTGGTGTGGAAAATATAGTGACCATATTTCCTATGGTGGTTGGTGGTAGTGGTGGTTGTGTACTTGCTTGACTTCGCAAGTTTGAGGTTAGGACTAACTGAGATCGCCCTAAATTGGAAGTAGAAGAAGAAGCGGCACATTTGTAGATGAGGGCGCTCACAACCTCATTCCTCGTTGGATTTTGTACACAGGATTCTGCAGCAACCAAGGCTTTAAGCGCGTTTATCTTGGATTCAGAGAAAATGAACCTCTGATGGATACATCCTTCCATTTTCGGCTCGACAACAGGGGAAACTAGAGGACCATCAAATGGTGATGGCATTAGTGAATCCTTAGCAAAGTATGGAGGAGATAATGTTGATTTTGGATCTCGAGTTAACCTAGCCCAATCCCTCAAGAAGTAGTAAGCGCTGCACGCGTCTCCCACCTATTAGAATAGAAATAACAATACGATCATGTGAAAAGTAATAATTGTAAATCTTGAAGGATGATAAATCAGAAGCAAAAGTAAAAGCTATACTAAAATAAAAACATAATGTTTAATATGATTTGATCAAATGACCTGCATATTCGAAAACTAATATAAAAAAATACATGACAAACTCTAACACTATGCATGCACCTTGTGCAACATGCAAAAACTAAGAGCGATTCCTCCACACTCGAAATGGCTTAATTGTGCAAGAGTTAAGGGACCAAATGTTGATGACGACGAATCCCTACAAGATAAACCTTGAAGGAATGTCAAATCAGGGTGATGAATAACTTTATCCATGGAAGAGTTGATTTCGAGTTCGAAGAACTCAGCACCATGATCATCACACTCAATAGTAGCATTGTTTTTTAGACTTCCTGCCCATGGATAGTAAAATGTAAGAGTTTTTGACAAAGAATTTGTTAAAAATTTAGATAATTTGTGTTTTGGGATTGTAGCTACTTGATGTTTTGGGTAGAAAAAAACAAAGGGTACATAAATGTTACCAAAAAATTGATCAAGAAGGGAAAGATTGTGCCATCTTTTAGTATATGGGGTGGGAGAAAAAGGTTTGATAATCTTCTTTGAAATAGTTGATATCATTTTGATTTTTTTATGGTAAGTCCAATTAACTCTATAGTATATATATTGAATAATACATTGATATTAGATGTGCTAGTCAAAGTACAACAACTAGTTGCACATGGGAATTTAAGGCAAAAACAATGACAGGTATGTGCATATTGGGAATATCACAAATTATAGAAGTCATGTACTACACCTATCTATTCGTCAATAATTTATATAACATTCAATGCGTTGTTTAGTCAGGACGTTGTTTTCATTGTTATTATATTTTTTTTAAATTTCTTGTTTTGATTTGATTATAAGTTATATTTGGATATACTATCTAAAATCACAATATCTTATGAGGGTCAAATACCTCTTATCTCTACTATAAGTGTCAAAGAACAATAAAAAGAATCCTCAATAAAAGCAAAAAAAGAACATCTTGATCAATGATAAACAAAATACGATCATAACGAGGTTCTAATTGTACAACTTTGATATAATGGCTCAAACTGAGAAGTGTTACACTCCCTTGAAATAAGTATATGTACATCATACCTCCTACGATTGTTGCAAAAATTCTGAGTGAATCTGAAATAATTAAGTATTGTAGCCTCATTCTAACCAGGCTCCAAAATCAAATAACGAATTAAATTAGACCGGTCCACCAAACCGAAATTACTACTCCCTCTATTCCATATTAAGAGAATTTTTGGACCTTTTTCATTGTATGAAATGTTGGTGAAATTATATATTACAAATCACAATTGAAAATTGAAAATTGAAAATTAACTGAAACACAAATTGTAATTCGACAAACTCTAGACAAGAATTGAGTAAAATAATATGAGATTGAATGAAGAACTAATGGTCATGGCAACCACGTCCATTGAGCATTGAATCCAAATGGAGTAATTAGGGACACATGCCTCCAACGTTTTAATGCAGCAATGCGAAGATGCATATGTTAAATTTATACTAATAAAATGCCACACTAACACAAAATAATATGAATTTCTTTTCATATTTGCGCAAAATAATATGCATATTATTCAAAATTGAAGATAAATGTTCAATTGAGATATTTAATTTAGTGGGGATAAATTTTCCTAATATAAACGCAAAAACATTTAGCGACAATCGACAATTGACAATCGATTTAGTGTCATGACATTCAGATTAATTGCTAAAGTCTTTAGTGGTATTTCTATAAAATGTTAGATTGAAACCCATTGCCTAGCTAAAGTCAAATGTGATGGTCAGCTCAATCAGAGCAAAAAGGGTCAAACAAGATTATTGAGAGACAATGTATCTAATAGTCGTGTTACTATAATTTTCACTCATAAAAAATCTAGAATATGTTAACAAGAAAATTAAAAATAAAATAATCTCTTATGTTTGAGGTAGGTTCAAAGTCCCAACTCTGTTTATTATTGCAGCGGAGGTATTGGCTAGGGGTCTTAACAGGTTGCACATTGATGGAGAGTTTAAAGGGTACGGCATGCCTAAGTGGAGTCCACAAGTAAACCATTTATCGTATGCAGACGATACCATTTTGTTTTACTCAGGAGAAAAAGCATCGACCAAGAAAATGATGGGGGTGTTGAGAGATTACGAAAAGATCTCTGAATAAAAGCTTCTTCTATCTTCATGACAACACTCCACTGATTGTTGCTATAAGATTAAGAAAGCTCACTGGAATTAGGCAAGGATCCTTTCCTTTTACATATTTAGGTTGTCCAGTATATTATGGGAGAAAGAAAAGTTCACATTTTGAGGAGTTGGCGAAAAAGATTCAAATGTCTAATTATGTATAACATATCAAATAGAAAAATGTCTTTCTGAAAATATCTTACAAGATCTCTCATAGATCAATTTGGGTTAGATATTAGCCTGAATTTTGAACGGTTGAAATAATATGAGGTAATAAATAAGCGAGTCAATAATCAGTTCAAACCAAAGCGATCGAATTGGGCGGATTATGATTTCATGGACCTATATTAAGAGAGAAAGAGAGAGAGATCTAGTTTTTAAGCTTTTCCAATTTGAACAAATAAATAATTGTTCAACACTACCATAGACATTGAAAATTTGTGGGATTATGTAAGAGGTGTTGAAATTCTACGAGATGTATTTGATTCCATTTAGAATTCTTGGAGGCTACTAATTAACCCTAAACCCTAGCTTATGCCTATATAAAGGGTATTATATTCCTTAAAGAGGCATCTCAAATCTCGAATATTCCACAAATTCATGAAATATTCATAAAGAGATCAAATCCTAGGTCGAGAAATATGCCACTAACGGCAATGTTATGAGAGAAAAATCAAGGGAGGGATAAATGTTATGAGACAAAGAAAAAATCAATTAGGGAGGGATAAATGTTATGAGAGAAAAAATCAAGGGGAGGAACAAAATTGTATCTGCACTACTTATCAATAAAATATTCTTGTTTCTTCATATTTTATTTCTAATTACAATTTACTTTTTGTCACATTGAAATTTATCGCAAACAACTAGATATACATACATATTGAAGACATGCATCTGCCGTATAGTTGCATCATCCATGCAGTAGTGTTGTTCTATTTAATTTTGGTAAAATACGTATTCGTATACGGTGTCTACATTGGATTTATTCAACTTATTATGATCAACTAATTTTCAGAAATTTACATGTAGTGGACTTTTGTAAGGCTGGTGTTTAATTTTTGACCCCGTTAAAAAATAATATTATGCAAAATGAAAATATATACCTCCATCAATTATTAGGGATTTTTTTTTGACTTAAAAGCTCTTTGTTTGTTTGAATACAATTTTGGTAAACAATAATAGAGCAGAAATAATTACGTCATTAGAAAAAGAAACAGACAGAAAATATCTAAGTCATGCTGACTCTTTCTAAATTGACTTTTAAACTCATATTTTCAATAATTCCAAATTGTTTCTATTTCTGCTGACTCTAAAATTTTTGCAGCTCATTTACGAACAAAATATTTTTTTGTTGAAAAATCTAGATAAATATTGAAAAAATTTCTTCAAAGCTTAATTTAAAAAGTTGATCTACCTTAAACGTGAATCATTTTGAGTGAAAAATATTTCAAATGACTTAAAACATCGAGAGGAGCTCATATCTAAAATTTTAGGACTATTTAGAGCAGCTTTGAGTTGGTCTAGACAAGAAAAAAAACTATGTATAAATATTGTATTAAACATGGTATATATATATATATATATCCTGCGTCCGGAGCCCACATTGGACCTCCGACTAAATTCGGGTCGCGCTCTGCAGGGCCCATTCGAGGGTGGCGCTCCCAAGAGGATTTTTTCCATACCCAGGGCTCGAACCCGAGACCTCTGGTTAAGGGTGAATCACTCCCACCAGTGCACCACAACCCATGTTGGTGTATATATATATATATCTTTAATACATAGTTATACATTATATATACAAAATTATATGCTATTATACAATATTGATACATTAAATAACTATTTATAAAATGTCCTTGAATCATGCGAAAATAACAAAAGTACCCTCCATTTGTAGTTTGATCCAAAAATGCCCTTGTTGTCAATACTTTGGTCCAAAAATGCTCTTATTGTTATTTAATGGGTCAAAAATGCTCATTTTCCAAATAAATATATTTTTATTTTCTTTTAAACACATTCTTTTTCTAATATTTTCTTAAAAAAAAATTAACAAATGTTTATCTTACTTCAATTAAGAAAAAAATAAAAAATAAAAAAATTTCTTATTTTACTATCATTATTTTTTATCGTTATATATATATGACATATATTATATGTTGAAAAGGTACATGAAGTTATTCTATTTTAATTGATAAAATGAGATTAAGAAGAAAACAAAATATTTCCTACATTTTTATTTATTAAAGTGATTTTTAGAAGAAAGAAAACAAGAATAGTGTTCTTTAATAATATTTTAATTAGAAAGAAGGCGTGTTTAAAAAGAAAAAAATATATATATTTATTCGAAAAAGGGCATTTTGACCCATTTTGTAACTATAGCGGCATTTTCGAACCAAAGTATTGATTGCAAAGACATTTTTGAACCAAAGTATTAACAGTAAGGACATTTTTAAGCCAAACTATAAACGGATGACATTTTTATTTCTTTCACGTAATTTAATGGTAATTTGGACCCTTTTCCCCGTAAAAGAGGAACAAAAAAATAGTAAATTGTGAACAAGAGAGAGTACCATATAGTAGTATTGTTAATTTCATTTGAACATATAAAGCATTGTCTTAAATGTGGATATAAGCAAGAGAAGATAGAGTAGACCAATTAATTAAAACATCACAAAATCATTTTTGCCAAAAACAATTATCTTCAAACCAATTATACTCACTCAAAAAGCTTAAAACAATAAGAAATCAAACACTAAAACCCCACTCATTGACAGCCCTGAAATTAATAACCAATGTCTTCAAGTGCTTGGCAGAAATGCTTCACTACATATAATTCCTCTTCAACAGCTCCACGTCTTTCATTCTCTCAGGAATTTCCTTTAAATTTGGACAGTTATGGATACCAAGACCTTTAATCAGAGGCATTGCACTTGTGCCTAAATGCCATCTTTCTAGCTTTGAAAGATCACCAAGAATAAGGAACTCTAGTTGACTGAAGCTGTATCACTGCACATTATTTCTTTTCCTTCATAAGCATTAACCAAATCGATATTCCTTAGGTTTGGCAACATTCCCAAAATAGGCATCGGATCTTCCATGAGTTTTGAGTCTATAAGAAGCATCATTGTGATGGAATTTGGAAACAGATCAGGCAGTTTCTCTATCACCCCTTCTAACCTCAATTTCTGGAGCTTTTCACAATAATTAACAAATTCAAGGGATGGGAATGTATTATAACCGTCACAAAACAAACTGAGAGTGCTAAGGTTTTTCAAGCTTCTAATGTTGTTTAGGGAGTAAGTTTTGGTAACATCATGCATGCTTAATCCTCGAAGATTGACTAAATCAACGGGGTCAACATCTTTCCATTGATCACAACC